TATATATATATATTTATATATATATATTTTTTTTTTTCCAGTACTCCAAGAAATCCTAGGTGGGGATCATACCACCAGCGCCTATCCATAGAGCAGTACCTCTGCTCTATCTTTGTGAGTATTATTTTATTTTCTCTACTACTCTCTTAACCTATCACAATTGAGAGCACTATTGCTGCTTTTTATTCTTCTATATTGGAGCCTTGGATCACCAGATGGTGCTGACAGACGTATCGCCGCTACATATCCTATAAGCGGGGATTATACCGCTGTACGCTATCCACACCAGAGCTGGCCATAGCTCCCTCAAATGTGAGTTTTTTACCTCTTCTTATCTGCGCATTGAACCACATCAAAATTGAGAGCACTATTGTTGCTTTATGTCTTTCTTTTCCGAGTTCTGGACTACCAGACGGTGTTGACGGAGACCCCCTCCCTACATATCCCATAAGCGGGGATTATACCGCTGTACGCAATCCACACCAGAGCTGGCCATAGCTCTCTTGAATGTGAGTTCTTTACTTTTTGTTACCTATCACACTCTGAACTTTCATACTATACCATTAGTCGCCTCTACCTCTTTTGTATTTACATATACGGAACGGTCTACACTAGACACATCCACAGAGGAACTCTATCAAGTAGGGATCGACCGATTATCGGTTTTACCGATATAATCGCCCGATATTCGGTATTTTCGACAATATCGGTATCGGCCAATTCAGATACCGATATTGCCGATTATACCTCCTAGGACCGCCGGGCTCATTACAAGCCCGGCGGCCCTGGGGGGCGGAGAGCAAGCGCTTACTCACCTCCCAGCAGCTCCCCAGTGTAACTCTTGCGAGACCCGCGGCCGTCAGAGTGTTGCCATGGGTTACCATGGCAATGCTCCGGGCGACACGCTGGCCGCGAGAGTTACACTGGGGAGCTGGAGGAGCTGCTGGGAGGTGAGTAAGCGCTTGATGCCCGCTCCCCCCAGGTCAGCCAATACCACTGGACCACCAGGGTCTGTCATATCCCCCTCACACACACACTCCATTATATACACATGCCCCCTCACACACACACTCCATTATATACACATACACTACACAAACACACTGTGTATATAATGCAGTGTGTGTGTAGTGTGTGTGTATATAATGCAGTGTGTGTGTGTAGTGTGCGTGTATATAATGCATTGTGTGTGTAATGTGCGTGTAAATAATGCAGTGTGTGTGTAATATGCGTGTATATAATGCAGTGTGTGTGTAGTGTGCGTGTATATAATGCAGTGTGTGTGCAGTGTGTGTATATAATGCAGTGTGTGTTTGCATAGTGTGTTTATATAATGCACACTACACAAACACACTGCATTATATACACACTATACAAACACACACTCTGCATTATATAAACACACTACATTCATTATATACACACACTACACAAACACACACACTTTGCATTTAGTATATACTGCATTCACTTTACGCACACTACCCACACACTACACAAACACTCTGCTTTCATTATATACACACTACACTAATACACACTGCATCCACACACACACTACATAAACATACACTGCATCCACACACACACTACACAAACACACACTGCATCCACAACACACACTACACAAACACACTGCATCCACTAGGGATCGACCGATTATCGGTTTTACCGATATAATCGGCCAATATTCGGTATTTTCGACAATATCGGTATCAGCCAATTCAGATACCGATATTGCCGATAATACCTCCTAGGACCGCCGGGCTCATTGCAAGCCCGGCGGCCCAGGGGGGGCGGAGAGCAAGCGCTTACTCACCTCCCAGCAGCTCCCCAGTGTAACTCTCGCGAGACCCGCGGCCGTCAGAGTGTTGCCATGGGTTACCATGGCAACACTCCGCGCGACACGCTGGCCGCGAGAGTTACACTGGGGAGCTGGAGGCAGTGGCGTCTCTAGGATTCATTTTTCGGGGGGGCACATGGAGGGCCAGTGACAAAAGTAGGGGGGCACATTTAACCCCGCCCTCGCCGCAGTTTGACCACGCCCCTGTCACATGTTAAGCCACGCCCCCGACACAATGTGTTTTGTTTTTTTAATAATACCTGGTGGAGGAATCATGATTTTCCACCAGGGATTATTAAAAAAACAAACACATTATCCTTGATACAGTGCCACAGTTGCCAACATTTGAAAAAAAATTTCCAAGGACATTTTGCAGCACAGCTATCAATTACTGTCTGGGTATAATATCCCTGGACAGTCAGTGCTCTCTGTATAATACAGGGTTGTGTGTATAATAAATTGGGACACTCAGTGCTCCCTGTATAGTGCTGTTCTCTGTATAATCCCAAGACAGAGAGCAGCACTATACAGGAAGCACTGACTATCCCGGGATATTTTATACACACAGATCTGTATTATACAGATAGCTGAGAATATACCCCAATCTCTAGACTACTAGTACCTGTCAACAGCAGCTCCCAGACGCGTGTAACAGGGCTAAAGTGTGCGGCAGCTCACACAGATTATTCAGCGGTAAAGTGCACTCGCTGGCAGAGCCAAACTGGGAATCTCTGGGAATCCAAAGCAGCCCTGGAAAAAAAACGTATGCCATTCCTACAAGTCAAAATATATATATATATATATAGTACAGTAAGCACACAAGCTCACTGACATGCGCAAACAGGCTTACTGACAGACAAAACTCTCTGACTCACACACAAGCTTACTACAGACACTCACTTGTATAAACAGAAGGCTCACTACAAAGAAGTTCAGGGACACACACACAAGCTCACTAAAGACAAGCTCACTGAGACACACATGCTCACTAAATAGAAGCTCACTGACACACACAAGCAGTACCATTTTAACAGAGTTAAGGGCCCCTGGGCAAAGCAATACACTGGGGCCCTTCCTACACAACAACTCACAGGAATTTTAATTATTGATAGACTGCGGAGTCCATACACACACACACAGACTGCTGAGTCCATACACACACACAGACTGCGAAGTCCATACACACACACAGACTGCGAAGTCCATACACACACACACAGACTGCTGAGTCCATACACACACACAGACTGCTGTGTCCATACACACACACAGACTGCTGTGTCCATACACACACACTCACACAGATTGCTGAGTCCATACACACACACACACACACACACAGATTGCTGAGTCCATACACACACACACATAGACTCTGCTGAGTCCATACACACGCACACACACTCTGCTGAGTCCATACACAAACACAAACAGACTGCTGAGTCCATACACACACAGAGACTCTGCTGAGTCCGTACACACACAGA